TATATATATAAAATTTCATTTGCCATCTGGCTTAGTGTAAATTCTTACTTCTATATGACTATTGTATATAATTCTGCTACTATTACATGTACATTCTTGGTTATTGTTTACAATGTATGCTATTGGTGTTATTTATAATACATAAATCTATTCGAGATCTAGGCAGGGGCTTTAGCTTGTCGTCTGCTGATGCAGATCTTTTTTGGTGTTCCGCAACTAGCTTCCTGTGGCATGGGGTGGAGGAGGGCGCCTCTGCGGACTCAGTCCCGCGCTGTTTGTACTCACGCGGGGCCAGGTGTATATTGCCGGTGTGCGTGTAGTAGCATGCCGCACTGCCATCAATGGCCTCAGTGACAATTTTTTCCCCTTAAGGCTTTTAGCTTGTGGCAGTCGCAACTTTAAGTGCGGCGTCACTTCCCGCACACCATTCTCCCAGTGCCCCTATCACAAGCGGGAGTACTTCGGCGCTGTGGTAACCGACGGTAATGTGGGCTTCGTATTTTTGGCGCTTTTCTTACATTTTCTTCTTTACGATATCCGCGTTCCAAGTTTAATCCCAAAATTTGGACCCATTTTTGATTAGTTTTAGCAAACCAGAGCAGAACAGTTAACAGAACTGGTGTAGCAAAGCAGAACCAGTTAATCACTCTTTTCCCATATTTACCCTAAGCCAAGTCTATGCAAGCGAAGTGTTCTGCCGTTGTTACTAACCAGTAAGTTCTTAGGAATCCCTGTCAAATAATATTAATTGAAGGATACAAATCTTTATTGAGCATTTGCATTTTTTAATTTGCAGTTAGTGAAAGATCGGTTTCTATTTTGCACTTGCATTTAGCTATCCTTACCTTAAATTTTGCTACAATGGTTGAAGAAGCAGAATTTATAAATTGTATATACAATTCTTTTACGCTTTACGTTTTTCGGTAAAAGTAAAATAAGTCCCACACTAAAAAGAGTATATCTGACGCATCTTTCATTTATTTCCGAAATACGGTTATGTAATATAATATAATGTAATAATGTAATAGTAAGGGAACATATGGATCGACGAATAGATTCAAATGATTGTTAGGTCATGGTTGGCTTGATGCTTCCGTTGCGATGTATGTGAGTTTGTATGCCAGTGGTGCTACAACAGCATATACTTTCTCACATTTTTAAATTTGCAAGTTTTGAAAATTCAGAGAGTTCAACGAAAATGAGACCTGTGCCATTCTAGCATTCTTTAAATCAAAATTACACGAAAAACAATTGTTTCAAAAAGTGTACATGACCTTATTTCAAGATGTCTTTGCATAACAGATTTCACGAAGAAAAAAATAGTTATCTTCAATATTGTACTTGTAGGAAGATGGGATAAAAACCAACTTATAAATGTTCGCCAAATCAGGGATTTCAATGAAAATGAGACATGCGCCATACTTTTAAGCGTCCTGTATGTTAACCGTGGACGAAATTTAATTCAAATATATGGAGCCTTTTTGAAAAATTATGAAAATGTTTTTGAGGCTTCATGTAAAGTACCCCCCCCCCCATCCCATCAAAATATACGTTTCAAACTCGGAGGGCATATAGTTCCTTTAAATCGAGCTAGGAATGTGAATTTCGGAGAAAATCAGCTGAAGGGTTTTTGACGCTAGCGTTGATCACAGACTGACGTTTTGCCGTCAATGTATTTTGCAGTATCAGGAACTTAAAAGAAATATTTCTGTGTACACGTGTGAGAAGAAATAATTTACTCTATATAGGAGCATGATTTATCCACTTTCTCGTAGCAAGGGCTCGGCAATAAGCTTTTTTGGGAGGGTCGAAAATCGCCATTTTCCGACACACGATTACAATTTAAACTTGTTCTTTGGACGAAAATGGTGACAAAATAAATGCCAAACTTGTGATTGTAGGACAATTTTGATAAAATTTTAATGTATCCAATTATAAAAATCTGGGATTTTACTCAAAATCACACCTTTGTTCATTTTATGTGCAATTTTTTGTTCTATTTGCATAAAAACTTTAAGAAAAAAATTGAACATTTTTTGACATTTTTCCTTATTGCCTAATGGCCTTGTGTAAAGGGTTTCCCTTAAATTAAGGGTTTCCCTTAAATTAACCGAAAAATTAAAATATTGTAACGTTTCTCCGTGGTGAATTAAAACACACGTAGGTAATATTTAACCAAGACGTTTATTTGATAAGAATGCTACTCTTAAGATACTTGATCTATTCACAGATAGGTTACACAGTCCTTGTGTTCTTCACTTGATTATTTTCCTTACACAAGACTCCGTTCTCTTGATCATTTTTACACATTTCACTTCTTCTGATTATTTATTTACACCGTTCACTTCTTCTACACTATTGCACAGTCCAATGCGCTGTCCACGGTCCACTGCGCAGACCAGGGTCCACTGCACTGCTGTTAATCGCGATGCACACTTCTCAGCTCAGCTTCCACTTCAAACTGCTGATTGCTGTTCCCTTACTACTTACCTCCCTTACTGTTTACAGCGATGCACACTCCACAGATCAGCTTCCACTGCAGATTTCAGACTGCCGACTGCTGTTCACTCATTACACCACTATTAACCGCAATGCACGCTTCACAGCTCAACTTCCACTTCAGAGATGCTACTGCATACTCACTGACGGACTGACTGCTTACTACTGCTACTACTTACTGACTCGCGGCTGCTTACTTCCGACTACCAGTAGCGGCCGCCGGCAGCGGCGAATTTATACCTATCCGACGCTCGTCTCGACACAACCGCCACTTGCTCTACATTTCTACGCGACTCCCCAATGACCCGGAACCGTCCAGTTTGGGGCGCCAGCAGATGACGCAATCCGAGCAGCGAATTCCAGCAGATGATTCGTTACGATATCCATTTCAAAATCCAGGGTCTGTGTGACACAAACAGGATTGAACAAGGCATGTTAGTTTTTGTGAAAGGTTTGTGTATGTTTTCGGAGCTATAAATGTGGACTCTGATTAAAGTGTGAAATTAATCCTTCGATGCATGGATCTCAGATTTTGCAACTATCTACTTAGTGGGTCTCAAAAGCCTGGTCTGAATAAAACTAATTTGGGGCCAGGATGAAGAACTATTGAATGCAATTATTATTATTATTATTATTATTATTATTATTATTATTATTATTATTATTATCATCATCATCATCATCATCATCATCGTTATTAAGTAAACCTGTATAAACTTTTAATGCATAATAAGGAATTTTATACTTTTGGGAGTATAGTACAAAATACTGTTTTTTTAATGTTCTGGTAAAAGTTTGCACTGCAATTTTGTTTTTTGTCTTTTTCGAAGAGGCATAAATAGCACCTAGAAAGAAAGTAACAACCTCAATAAAAATAATTTTTTACAATTTTACCATCATATTATCATATTTAAATATTCGCCTTACCTCTATATTTTTTTGGAAATGATCTATTGGGCATCCTAACTTGTGTTCCTGTGAATCCTGATGACTTCAAGAGCATTTAGGGTTCTTTTGCAGAAATTAAGGTTTCTCACTCATTTTTTTTAGCACAGGAAAATTCTCCTGTCAGTTTCATGTATTCTTTTGCACTGACATGAGTCTTGAAACCTTTTCGTGAAGATTTTGTATGCATTCCAAGCAGCAACGTCGATCTTGTTATAAAAGAACCTCATTGGTCATGAAGAGTATGCCTTTGTAATTTGTAATTGTTGACAATTTGATCCGTGAGGTCAATTCCAATCTTTATTTTGTTTTATGCAAGAATAATTGGTTTATTTTTTGTTGTTGTGGTCGTGGTCCTGATATATTGCGTGATGTGTTGTCAAAAAATTTTAGAACATAATAATCTACCATTATAATCTCACAATTCAGATGGTATTTCCTGTATGTTAACTCACAATATTAGTTTCTTCTGCATTAGAAATATCAGTTGTAAAGTTAGAACGGTCAGTGAATAATGACTGTACCAAATCCTTTACTGTTATTTATGTAAAATCTTTTGCAACAGGTTCATCTTTCCTTTTTCCATAGTATATGTTGTCGTTTAGTATAAATCCGTTTCTAGAATCCCAGCACTAAAAACTCTTTCTTCCATATTTATGTGGTCATGATTTGTGTCTCTGGACAAGTTAATAAGAAAATCTGGAATGATAAGGATTAAATTCCAACAGCATAAATGTGCTTGTGTTAAAAGGTTCGTTAAGGGAAAACAGTCCACAGGGCTTCAGAGGCCCACTTAGTGGAAAGCATGACTATCT